GTTGCTCGGGCTGGTCTTGAACCCCTGGGTGGAGGTAATCCTCTCACTTCTGCTTCCCAAAGTGCTGAGATTACAGGTGTGAGCCACTGGGCCCAGTTGACTTCATTTTTATGAAAGGAAAAATAGTTGTGTTTTTTCTTTTTTTCCTGAGATCCTGGAATACTTAAGCTACCTTAGTATTTTAGACTTTTTTCTCATATCATTAGATGGACTCCATGGTCTATACAAAATCATCCATAAGTTGGAACTTGTATAGTCTTATCCCAGTTTACAAATTGTTTTTGTATCACCCTTTTGAGAATTATATTTTTAGATGTCATCCCTCCTATTGGGTATAAGTACTTGCTTGAAATTTCTGTGTTCTAAAATTCTTGGGATCATAAGTAATTTCTTTGTTTCTTTCTGTTATAATCATCCCACAATTGCTGTCCCACACAGAACTCAGTTATGTTTCTGCTGTTTATAGAGTTTTGAAAAACTCATTTTTATTATAGGAGTTCTGTAGATCCTTTTTCACTTGAATTGTGATGCTACTTTAAAAAGGTTTAGTTGTTTTTATTTTATAATCTGAGTTGTTCGGTTTGTTTCTATAAAGAGGTGCAGTGAGACTCAAAAAACTAAGAGAAATAGAACTCACAGGAACATTCATACTCTGTGGTAACATGTCTGATATATTTTTCAAAGCAAAATAGCAGAGTTTAGTTAATTTAAGTATATGCATAATTTATGAACCAAAATTTCACTTGATATTCACATTACAAAGAAGTATCCATATATGTCTTTCATTCCAAGATGGATCTAGTAGGGAGAAAAAAAAATATCTCATTGATTTTTTTCTGACTCTTAACCTCAGTAACAGAAAATACACATCCTTTTCATGAAATGTTCTTGAGTGTTGTCAAAAATTTTTAGTCATGAAATAATCCCCCTCTGAATTCCAAAATGGAGAAATAATAGAGAAATAATACAGATAATCCAATTTTAAAGAGAAATTAATATCAGAATAAAATGACTTTACCACCATGACATTTCTTAAAATGCTGCTAAACAATGTTTGGAGATAACAAAATAAAGTTAACAGAAATTCTACAAAAAAAAATTTAGAAAAATACAACTAATCAGAATCTACAGGCACAGCTAAAGAAGCTTTCCAAGGAAAATTCATAGTATTAAATACTTTTATCAATAGAAATGTAAAAATAAATAAAATAAGCTAGATAAACAACTGGAAAAACTTTAGAAAATAAAATGAACTAAGGAAAGCACAATTAAGAAAAATGCATTCACAAGGAAAATGAAGGAGAGGTGAGGCAAGAACAAAACTAAAACTTGCATTCATAATACCTATATCTTCTTTATATAGTTTCCATTGGCTAAACAAGTGGGTGAAGAGGTGCATGTTGAGTGCAGATATGATCAAAGATTGGCTCTTTTCTAATTGTCACATAATCCTAGTACTCTAGTGCTAGTCGCTTCAAATACAGTCAATGAATGCTAAAATAAATCCTTGGATAAACATATACATGAACAAATAACCAGTGAAAGGAGAACAGAAAATACTACAATTTTTGTAGTTTAACATTTTTTCAACAAAAGACAAATCTGTTTTAATATGCTGAACATGTTTTCTCAATAATAGGGCAACCACTTTTAAATAGATAATATGTAAACAAGTATAAACGAATTATTCAATGCCTCTATACAACACCAGTTATTCTAGGTGATAATACTATGGACATCTTTGAATTGTTGTGGATACCTTTATTGTCTAAATGTTCATACCTTAGACACAAAGAACATGCAGTAATTATTAAATTTAAAAGAATCATTTTAAATTGAGAATAAAAGTAGGAAATGTGCTGTGTAAATTGACTTTTCCTAGTTTTCAAACCAGACATGTTTGGCATATACCATTTTGTGACTCTGTATAAATGCAATTGTTGAGCTATCAGTCATGGGGCTATGTCAGAGAAGACAAGATAACCCCCTGAAAGAATCAGGAGAGCCAAAAAAAGTACCAACAATTTTTTTTAAAAATTGTAGAAATGAACAGAAAGAGCAGTGAAAATACTATTTTATTCAGCTCAATTTCTTGATAGGAAAGTTATTAGAACTAATCAGGGGCTGATCAAATTACATATGTCTAAAAAAGCCTAAGGTAGTAGTTTCGTGGAGAGCAAATAGTGTCAGATAAATTCAATTTCTTTTTATGACAAAGTGACAAGGAAGAAGATGTACATGTAATAGTTTGGAAATTGAGTCAGCTTCAGGGTGACCCACGTTACAATTTCCTCAGTGAGCTAAGAATATGACATTAGGTGGGTGCATGTACCAAGGAGAAGTGATTGGAAGTTCATTTAGTGTCAGAGTACATCGTAGATATTCTGTCTTTGCATTTGTCATGGTTCTGGTTGTGATAATTATATAAGAGTTTTCTTTTTTTTTGAAAGGTTGGAATGAAGTGTGATTCTTACTTTAAAAAGGCAGTCAGTTAAAGTGACTCGTTAATGCTTTGGAGTAGGAACATAGAAACCTGATGCCATTATTTTAATTAGAAACTATAGACTTCTACCTTTTTCCCAAATGGTTCAGTTTATTGAAGGATACTTGTCTTTAGGAAGATTATGCTATATAACTGATAAAATGGTTATAAATGACTTTGTACAAGCCATTCAGCATAGCTTTTACTCAGACATTATCCGAATAAGCAATGTAATATTACTCCAAACAGTCTCTTTTACATTCTACACAGTCCCAATAAATAGTATACTAAAAGAGTACTACCTGGAATGTTATGAGGATTTTTCTACAAGCTATGTGAAATCACTTTGGAAAAAATGTTAGTTAAAAATAGAATAACAAAAAAACCAAACTGTTAGATAAATATAGTATTTCTTTTGACGTTGGAAGTAGTCAGACTTTTAAAATAGCCATTTTAAATTACAGTATAAATTAATTTACATTAGAATTTTTGTTCTTAATAACTATCATCATCTTTTCTCTCCTCCAAAATAAAATAAGCAATGTTTTTGTTCCATAAATTTAAAAAAAACTGTCACATTCAAGTCTCAATTTAGTTAATATTTTGAAACAGTAAAACTGGACAAAAGCAAGGAAAGAAGAAATGTTTATAGATATTTTATGGTAATGATAACAATACAGTAAACATAAAGGAAATTTGTGAATTGAGTTTTTTAATAATCCTCTAAAACATTTATTTTACATAGTGGATTTAATGAAGTGACTGTAATTGTAACTATACATTCTTCCAAATTCTCATTCCTATCCTGTTAGTGCAAGCCAACATCATTTTCAGCTAGACAAATGGAAGCTACTTTCCCTATTTGCTTACTTTCTGCTGGGATTGGTTTGGCATATTACATACAATAGCTACATTATATTTATTCTTTGCTTTTACCCATAAGTATGTTTGAGCACATATATTCATTTTCTTATTGTTCATTTCCCCATTAGATTATAGATTCCATAAAAGCGGAGAAATTGTATTGTTTTCTGTTGTATCTCTGGTACCCAAAGTAGAGTTTTAAATTTTTCTTTTTTATTTCAGTAGCTTTAGGAGTACAAATCGTTTTCAGTTGCATGAATGAAATGGATAGTAATAAAGTCTGGAATTTTAGTGTATGTTTCACTTAAATAGTGTATATTGTACCCAATAGGTAATTTTTCATTTCTCACTCCACTCCCTATCCATTCCAACCCTCTGGATGCCTTTGTGGACCCATAGCTTAGCTCCTTTTTAGTGGAAACATTAGCTGTGTTTGCTTTTCTATTCCTGAGTTACTGCTTTTAGGATAATGGCCTCCACTTTCATCCAAGATGCTGCAAATTGTTCTTTTTTTGTGCCGGAGTAGTATTCCATGGTATGTATATACCACATTTTCTTTATCCACTCATGGGTACACATTTTCTTTATCCACTTAATGGGCACTTAGGTTGATTCCACATCTTTCCAGTTGTGAATTGTGCTTGATAAACATACAAGTGCAGATGTCTTTTTTATATAGTAATTCATTTTCTTATTTTCTAACCCAGTACTGAGATTGTTGGTTAAGGTGGTATATCTACTTTTAGTCCTTTGAGAAATCTCCATACTATTATCTATAGAGGTTTTGCTAATTTATGTTCCCACCAACAGTGTATAAGTGCTCTCTTTTCACTGCATCTACACCAACATCTATTGTTTTTTTGACTTTTTAATAATGGCCATTTTGATTGGGGTAAGGTGGTATCTCATTGTGGTTTTAATTTGTATTTGTCTGATAATTAATGATGTTGAGCATTTTTTCATATGTTTGTTAGCTATTTGTATAAATTAATTTAAAATGAAGTAGATAGTGTACATATTCTTTAAAAATCCATTTTGATCTCATTATCAAAGGAAACAACTGATAGTTGCTTTCAAATAGCTAGACAGAAAATTTCATGTTGATGAATATGAATGATAACATTTATAGGTTTTTTCCTTTCTGTGACCACTTTTAAATTGCTTATATGTTTGTTTGGAATGTAAAAAAATCATTCAGTTTCTCCTTACTTCTTATTTTAAATAACAGGATGATTACTATTTTAATTATTGTAATTTTCTTAGGAATAATTATGAATAAAAATAAAACATAAAACCTTAAAATATATTTTGTTCTGTTTATTGCTCTTGGGAACATTATGTTTACTTAGATATTTTAAATAGTCAAAGGACATATTCTTTCTTGTACTGTGAAGATGTTAAAATTAATTAAATGCGTCATATGTTTTACAGAAGACAGTCACTTCTACAATTATCACTTTTTCATTTGCATTGAGGTCCTTTTACATAGAGTATCAGCATTCAAATAACTTTAGCAAGATGTTGTTTCAGGCCTTTTATCAAGATTCTTCAAAATCTCATTTGAGAAGATAAATAATATAAATAATGTGAACAATCAGCATATTGATAATAACTCTTTTCTCATTTCACTTGTTTTTTCCTGTGTTTTTTTTTCAGAAATTGAAAAATTTCAAGGTTCGGATGGAAAAAAGGAAGATGAAGAAAAGAAATATCTTGATGTTATCAGCAACAAAAACATAAAGCTCTCAGAAAGAGTACTGATTCCTGTCAAACAATATCCAAAGGTATTACAATATTCTCTTTTCTCATAGAATTAAGAACAAAAATGATAAAAATAAGACTTGATACTTTATTCATTGCCTTTTATAAAATAAATACTTAAAGCTTCATTCTGTAAGCATATGCAAACACATAATACTGACATGAAGGAAGAAAAACTCTGAAAGTACAATGACAAGAGTAATTTTTACCTGAAGGCTATAGTATTTTTCTTCCATGTATGAAAGAAGCAAAATTAGATATTTTAATCACTTATTTAGCATATAACTGATTCACCACTTGCTCAAATATGCACACCCACTTGATTATGTTTTGGTTCATGTTAAAGTCTATATTTTTAGTATAAAAAGAAGTAGTGATGCTAAATATATAATATTAACCAATCAGCAAGGAATTATTATTTCTAGGAAAAAAACATAGTGTTTATTAGACTCTTGGATGATAATCTCTACTCTTCTGTATTCAAGATTCATTTAAAAATAATTTTGATTTTTTAGTGTAATAACATTTCTCTTTAAAATATGTTTTGCTAATAGATAACTGATTATAAAATACAGCATTCAGTGACATTGCTTCATCCATTACACTCATAAATTTCGGTGGATAAAAAGAGTCTTTTTTTTCCAAATAAATAAAAGAAGCTAAAATGGAAACTCAATGATTCAAGCTGATAATTTACTTTTGAAGGGTGAATCTGAAGCAAGGACCATGTAATTATCCTAATAATAAAGACTGCAGAAATAAATACGTTAGTCTACCAACTGTTTTCTAATATGACAAACTTTAGTAGTTAAAATTAACTGTAATATTTTGTTTATAACTTTCAGTTAAGGTGTTTTGGGCATGCAGTTTTGTTTTATTTTGTTGTGTTGATTTTCTTTTAAGCTACATTTTACTCTAAAAGTGCATTAAATAGGTATTTTTAAATGCTTTTTTCTTAATTTTAATTTTTAGAAATAAGGTCTTGCTATGTTGCCCAGGATGAAGTGCAGTGGTGTGATAGCTCACTACAGCCTTGAACTCCTAGGCTCAAGTGATCATCTTGCCTCAGCCATCTGAGTAGCTGCCATTATAGGCAGAAGCCACCACATCTGGCTAATTTTTAATGTATTATTTTAATAAAGACTATGGTGTTACCATGTTGCCCAGGCTGGTCTCAGACTTTTGGTCTCAAGTGATCTTTCTGCCTCAGCTTCCCAAAAGGAGAAACAAATATCTCCTTGACTGGGAGACATATGTTTTTAAAATAAATTTTCACAATAAGCTTTATAATTATGTTCTTTTGACTAGTAAATTGGGCAGTCCTGGGAATGTACATGAAAATTTTGCACAATAATGAAATATGGTAAAAACATGGTGGGATATTAAGAAAAATGTGTCTTTTTTCAAAGAACTTGATTAATCAGTTATAGTCTTGAATAGAAGGTTCCTTCTTAAATCATATATTTAAATATGATTTAACATGGTTCTGTTTCTTAGAGAACATTTGGGGAAAGCCAATGATGGACTTAATACCTCTACTAAATAAAAGGTAGCTCTATGGGTTTTGACCAAATTAAGTTAGCAAGGTATGGAATATATTTAAAATCCTGATGGCTCTTGAAGTTCCAGTATGAGTGGTTTTGTGCTGAGTATTAACAGAGTCTATATTTAATTCAAAATGATGAATACTGAACTGAATATTCTATGATGTCAAATTTTTGTGAGATTTAATTACGTAATTTATAAGAAGATACTCAAACACTGCTTATTATTATTGTAGTAAACCATGGATAGCTAGCTAATTGTTTTACCTCTCTGAATTTTAAAAATCATAGAATGCTTATGCTGAGGCTAATCTTGGAACTCACAGAACATAAAAAACTTTTATTTTACAGATGAGGTAGCTGGAAAATTGTGAATTGCTCAAGGTCATATCTTTGTTATAGATGAAAATCTTTAGTGCAGTTGCTATTATTTTAGATTCTTCACTTTTGTGAACCATTACATGTTTAACTTGACTGGTCATGCTCACATATTTGCATACTTTTTCATGTTAAATGTGGACGATTGTAAAAAATGATAGCATTTAATGATTAATGTAATAGTTTTATGGAATAATTTCAACAATTCATGCTTGAGAAAATTTACCATTTCTTTAAATGACTAATAGCCTGCCAAAGCCCTATAATTTATTTTTAAAGGGATATTCATTTCATCTAATTATTGCACATAAGAGAACTTTAGAGCCCTTTTACCAAAAAAGAGTGAAATTCTGAGAAACAGAACATAATCACTTTTCAAAGTTGAGCTACCTTGTTTTTTGTCTGTATGCTATAGCAATACAACTATAATATTTTGAAAACAAACTATTTTTATCACCATTTATCACATTTTGAAAAAAACCCATATTTTACTACAAAAATTGTGATTTTTTTTTCCTGGGATGTATATCTCCTTTTTACAAAAGTGTCAGTGAGATCAAGATCAAGTTAAGATCATCATTGCCAAACTTGAGCTGTATTTGAGGTACATTTATAGGCTGTAAATTGCATGGAGTGCTGTGATACTATGAGCTGTTGAGCAGACCACAACAGTATTTATGGACTTAAAGTTTAATCTTTTATAATAAAAAGTGAATTATCCCTCAGGGGTGGAGGGGACCACTGGAGAAAGATCAGCTTTTATACAACTTTCTCTCAGAACTGTCTCTCCCCATGATGCCTGCTATCTGTTTGAACTAGTAATTAATGTGGTGATGACACATTCCTCTCAAACAAAGGGCAACAAATAACTGTGGGAATTCTTGGGGAAATGACCTTATCTGGACTTAACTACATGACCTTTTTGGGATAGATTTTGTTTCAATTAGTCTCCAACTTCAAGTTAATTTGCTGACTTTCTTGAATACTACAAGGAATTGAAAGAAGTTTAAGAGTTTATATTATAGAAACTATAAGAAAGCTGTCCATGTTAAGAATGATTTATCTAGTTCCAGTGCTTTATATTTAATGATTTGTATTGGGGGGAAAATATGCCATATTATTGAATGATTTTAATGAAAAGTTATCTGTATTTGTTTTTATATTTTGTAATAAAATTAAGAGAGATGTATTGGGATTCATGCTAAATGAGTAGATTTTAACTATTCTTGCCAACAAAAACAGTAAAAATGATAACTATTTAGATAATGGATACCTTAATTGGCCTCCTGATAGCAGCTTTTTTACTTTGTCTATGTATCACATAGTATCATATTGTCTACCTTAATACACCAGAATGACAGAGCTTTTTTTTTTTTTTTTGCACATCCATTATTTACATTTGCAAATGTTTCAGAATCAGAACAATTATGTCTGGATAGTGAAGAAGCCTCTAAGACAGCAATATGTGTCAACATGGTTCTCCGTATTCCCAAGGTATTCCTCTAGAAGACTCTGAAGAACCAGCACTATCCTTAACCTTAATTCTTTTTCATCCACATATACTGTTTCATAGTCCAAAACACCATTATTTTGTCAATTTTAACATTTCCTACTGTTATGCATATTGTAGTTATAATCATGTCACAGTCTTTATCAGGTAGACAATGGTCACACCTCATTGTTATTGCCTGTACATGTGTTAACTTTGTCCCGGATTTCTCTGTTGAGTTGTTTGTGGTGTTGGAATGATGTGTATTGAGTTCAGCTGCAGCTGGAAATGTCTTCAACAAGATTGCATCATGATTTAGTGGTGACATGGAAAGCCATTATATATACAAAAAAGAATAAAAACATAGCTTGAGGTATAAATTTGATATTAATGAAGATCATTTTCATCCCTAGAAGAATGATAGATAATAATTCTGTATTTTCCTGTGTATCAGAACAAACAAATGTCTTATAGGAGCTAAGAAACCAAGACAACTAGTACAACCTCTGTGGAAAACAGTTTGTTCCTAAAGATCTAAAAATCAGCCTTCCATATGACCCTGCAATCCCCCTTCTGGGAATATACCTGGAGGAACTCAAATCACTCCATTAAAAAGATACCTGCACATGCATGTTTATTGCAGCATTATTCACAATAGCAAAAACATGGAATCAACCGTGTTCCCATTGAAAGAGGATTGGATAAAAAATGTAGTACATATACACAATGGACTATTACACAGCCATAAAGAAGTACAAAATTATGAACTTTGCTGCATCTTGGATGGACTTAGAGTCTGTCATACTCAGCGATCTATCACAAAAACAAAGAACTGAGTACCATATGTTCTCACTCATAAGTGGACCCTGAACAATTATCGTAATACTATAAGAAAGGGATTGTCAGTAGTGGGAAACTGCCAGGAGAGGGGGGAAGGGAACACACCTCATCAATAAAAGTACCTGATCTCAAACCAAGTGAAGTGGGAACCAAAGTAAGGCCCAAACTTTACTTACTATGACCATTTGTATACCTAACCCTGAATTGTACCCTACAACTTTAAAATGAAAATTTAGAAAAAAAAAAAAAGAGAGAAAGACACCAAGACACATAAGTAATAGAAGCTATGCAATTTTTTTTTTTTTAACTGCTAGACATGAGAAAGGAATGCCTTACCCAAGTCTAGGTAAATTGAAAGAACAATAGAGGACTGGAAAAGTGCTGTCTCTCACTTGTAAGAGTGTATCTGCTTGTTGCTTGCTATGGAACTTATTTGTTCACCTGGGCAATTCAGCCTCTCAATGCCTTTTTAAAATATCTTTTTGATGTGCTTTCAGAATTCTCTGAAATACATCAGACCTTTTCTTCAATTAAATTTGCCCCAAGGCCCGCTTTATATTTCTCGACTGGAGTTACTGCCAACTTTTTAAAGCAATATATCACCAGGCGTGTAAATCTGCCCCAAATTTGGCCTTTTTTAAAGATCAAACGCAGCCACATTCCCTTGCGATGGTTCTCAAATCAATTTCTTATGTAGATTAATGCAGAAAATTAAAGTTCCAAAATATATTTAAAACCATCTCACTTGCTCTATATTTCTTCTTACTCTGCT